CCCCGCATTCGTTAGAGCGGCTTCTAGTGACAAGTACCGATAACTCCAAGAGGACCCCAAGATTGGAGGGGAGATAAAGACTCTGCGTCACAAAGTCCCTCTTTGCAGGCAACAGGAAGGTCCCCTCTGTAGGAAGAAAACCAGGCGGCAGTCCCAGAGAAGAAACAGGAAGATCAGTCCTCAGAGGCCGAGGGAGAAGAAAGCTGGCCCCGGGTGGACTGCCCTGACTTTCAGAAGTGACCCGTCTTTTCCAGGGTAGAGCAGGCCCTTCCTAAGGATTTCCCCAGCTGCGCCTTCATTTCACAAAAGGCCCCGATCTCTTCCGGGGTGAGCAGCTGTTTTTGCACCGGTGAAATCCAGAAAGAAAATACAAATGTGTGCACAACATATTGTCTTTTTTCTTGCAAATAAAATTTACTTTATTGAGGGCAGTACCAGGTTAAAAGACATATATATCCTCACAATTTAAGCTCGCTAAAAAAATCTTTTTAAAAAGTCAATTTTAAAAGGAGCATCTTTAAACGCATGAAATGATACTCAACCTCACTAATCAGAGAAACACTATGTGAGAGGCCGCACCATATCCTTCAAATTGGCAACACTGAAAAGTCCAGTGAGAATGAATGTTAGCCAGAAGGTAACAGGAAAGAACGCCAACCCACTGCTGGTTCAGGACTGTGGATTCTTGTGAACCCTTTGGAGAGTGAGTTGTTAATTCCCGTAAAGAGGAAGATACACATGCTGGTGACCCAGCAAATCCACCTCCAGATTCAAGTCCCGGAAACTTCCGCACAGGCTCACAACGTGACAGGACAAGATATCCATTGCATCGCTGTTTGTAAAATGGACGAGTGGAAACAGTCATGTCCTTCAGTAGAAGAGTGGCTAAATTGTGGATAGCGTCCACCTTTGTTGTTTCATTCATTCTTTCATTCATTTTTCATTCAACGCATGTTCATGTGTGTGTAAGAACCATCTAGAAAAGTCTGTGAAAATGGCAGACTTCCTAGCCGCATCCTCAGAGTCTGAGCTTGAGTCTGGAAAGGGGTCTGAGGAAGGGGGTGCGTGCTAGTGTGACATGTGATGCCAATGCGTGTGGTCTTGGAATCACGTTGTAGCTGATCATGCATCCTGACATTGTCATTCATGATGGATTGCAAATCTAGACGGGCCACATGTGGTCTCTGGTTGCTTAGGGAGAGTTCTGCAAAGGCGGGATAGAGGACTTTATAGAACTCAGTCTGCTCGTATAATGAGGAAGCCAGAGCAGAGGATGGCTCAGTGTTTCCTTCCCTTTCTCACTTTCATTCTCTCCCTGGAGGGGTGTGCTGCCCAGTAAGTAGGCAGTTTTCTAAAGGAGCCCACAGCACCACCTCTACAGTCAACAGTGCTCCTTTAACCAGAAATCCCTGTTAACGAACAGGCACCTTCGGCTCCTTCCATTCCCATGTGGTCCCTGCACAATCCTAAGGCATCTTCATCAGAGAAGCATTAAGTTATGTTTAGAGGCCATTTCCCAATGAACAGAGATAATGGGATTCTAATGACCTGAAAATTTCAACACACGCATGGTAGATTGATTAACTATAAAACTCAGGAGATCTGATTAATTAGTTGACCGTTATTAAACTAGGTAGGGTTCAGGCAAACGTTGGCCAGATTCCCTACGCATACTTACTGTCTCTGTGGACAAGGGAAAACAGTATTGACCAAAAGTTCAAATAAAAACTTGATTCCATGCCATATCTTTTCTCATGAATCTTGGTCACTGTGGAGGCAGTGCCTGACCTAGAATCTTAAAGCCTTTGGGCCATTTTTAACTTTTTAATTGAGCCATTAAGTGCTGCTGAGGTGCAGGGTGAAGTAGCATAGCTTTCTCAGCTCCAAGACAACTCAGCTAACAAGGACCTGTGGATAGACCTGTGTCCAGGCAGACGATGGAAAGATGTGCTTGTTCTGGTCTGTTTGCCCTGAGATCCATTCCCTACCCTTTTCCCTTCTCAGCCCTGCTACCTTTCTGCTCTCTTCCTTCAGGTCTGATGGCTGAAGCTGTAGAGGTTTCTCCAGCTCTCCTGCCAGCCAGCTTCAGCGTGGGTTCAGCCAGTGGAAATGCCAATAGGAGTCCGGAGGCAAGTGAGAGACAGGTATTTCTTCCCACTGCGGCCACTCCATTTCTCCCTCGACAAACCCAGCAGGGACTCTAGCAGCATACCTCCCCCTTTTCTCTCTTCAGTCTATACCTACTAGTGACTTTCTGCCCTTGCTAACCTGTTAATTACTTTGTCATCCTCTCTTTGGCTTTGCAGCTCTTCCAACACTAGTGTGACCCATCCCCTGCATTCAATTCTCTCTGTTGAAAACAAGTGAGTTCCTTTCTGCTTTCCTGGTTAGACTCCAACTGATACCTAACTGGGCTCTACTTTCCAGCCCAATCAATACTCTAACACTTAAGTCTTCCGTACTCACCAACCAGTTTGCCCTTTGCAAAACCTGTTCATCTCACTTAAGCCCACAGTATCCCTGCGACGTAGACAGGACAGGGATTACCATTGTCACTTTACAGAAGAGAAAATGGATCTAGAGATGCTAACGTGAGATGACAAGGTTGCACAGCTAGTGAACTACAGACCAAAAGGTAGGAGCCAGGTGTCTTGCGGGCTGGTGGTAATTTCCCTATGGCATCCAGGCCCTTCTGTCTCTTCCCAACCTCACCACCAGAAGACATTCTTTATGGGTCAAAATAAGGATTCATTTGGGTCTCATTTGCATGTGGTGAAAAGGTGCTATAACTATGCAAATTGCACACCCAAAGGGGTTAGGGAGTATTCATTTCTATTTGGGGCTTTAGAAGAATATTTTGCATTTACATCGACCAGGCTTTGTCAGCATTCTATAAATCCTAGATGATAAACACTAGCAGTGTTTCTCGGAATTGCATTTGGAGTTGAGTGGGGAGGGGCATTCTTGGTAAAAAACTGCAATTCCTGGACCCCACTCTCACCTACTGAAATAGAAATTTTGGGTAAGGGACACTGGGAAGGTGTATTTTTAACTAGCAATCCAGATGATTCTCATGAAAAAAAATTTTTTGAGGGTCACCGTTCCATGAGAAAGAGAAAAGTAGTCATTGTCTACAGATGAGGCGATATCAGCAAGGTGATAAGAGGGCTGGTTTCTGGCCAATCAAAAAAGGCCCAGCCCCTCAGGCTTCCGTCCCCCTAAGACAGTGGTTCTCAACCTTCTAGCCCTTTAAATACAGTTCCTCATGTTGTAACCCAACCATAAAATTATTTTCGTTGCTACTTCATAACTGTAATGTTGCTACTGTTATGAATCGTCATGTAAATACCTGATATGCAGGATGGTCTTAGGCGACCCCTGTGAAAGGGTCGTTCGACCGCCAAAGGGGTCGCAACCCACAGGTTGAGAACCACTGCCCTAAGAGGTACCACTTATGACACCCAACTATGAGTCAGGCTTAGTTTCTGACACTACATGTACATGGTTCCATTTACCCTACGAGTAGATATAGTTCCCATTTGATACATGAGAAATCTGAGACTCGGATTAAAAGGTGCCACTGGGTCCCCTAGCTATGACCCAAATTCCAATCCAGTTCTGCTTGGCTACAAAGCCAGGCTCTGTCGGTCCATGTTACCCTTCCCAGAATGGAGCCTGCTTCATTTCCAAACAATCATGGGGATAATATATGCTGAGCTGGCTCCCTGAGGGGCATTCTGTTCCAGAGGTCTGAGTTTTTTCTTGCCTGCACCTGAATGAGATGCCAGTGAGCTGCAAAGGGGGCAGGTGAATGGAGGCCCCCCCTCCCCTGCCCCTTTCTAACCCTCCAGGTGCTAGGAAAGTCTCTTGGCAGATGAGGTTCCCAGTGGTTTCTTGATGGTCCTTCTCCATCTCCCCAGAGGCTCTTGGACGCTCTTCTACCTTGCTCTTGGCTCAGAAGCTTTTGGTTTTGCCCCAAACCAGTAGGAACCAATCAGAAAGCCTAAAGCAGCAGCTGTCTGCATTAATCCATCCAGGGAGGCCCCAAGGGAAGAAGCCCAACTGGCATTGTTATCACAAATGTTTAAAAAGTTACTGACATGAATGGGCAAGTGTGCAAGCACAGGGTGCTTGACATCTGGGTGATCTTGCATCATCTGAGCTGCCTTTGCTTTTTTCCAAGTGCATTGCTGTACGTGTCTGGTCACCACTCTGTTGACACTGCTGTTTGGATCAGCTCAGCTAGTGAAGCCTCCAGCTAGAGACTGAGGGAGGCAGGGCTGGGGGGTTCTCACCTCTGGACTCAGGGCCAGCACAGCTGCCAAAGGCCCCTTCCCACATTGTGACCCTTCCTGGGGCCTGAGGGTATTTTGTCCTCTGTAATCCCTTCCCCTGTAGCACACAAGTTCAAGTAGAGAGAAGGCAGGAGAGAACGGCTGAGCCAGATCTTAAACGTTTTGCTCATCGTAACAACCCCTGAATGCTTTCATTTGTCTTTGTGATGATGAATTATGGAAACAGGTGTATTGAGGGAATGGGGGTGAGGGTGGGTGTGCCTCAGTGTTGTCAACCTCCCTCCATGGCCCCCTTCCTCCAGGAAGAACAAACCCTGATCCCTTCTCTTCTCCCTGCAGGGCACAGATGGAGGCCACCAGCTCTGAGGAAAATCATGTATTTCAGAAACAAATATGAGGTAGGAAGAAGGCATTAGTGCAGAGGATGTGCTAAGAAGAAAAAAACAGGTTTTCTATGAACTGAATTTTTTTAAAAATTCTTCTACCAGGAAAAAAAGTGAGAAGCACATTGCAATTGACCAGAGGAGAGATGATTTTTTTAAATTTAATTTTTAAATTATTTTTTCCATCACCATTTATCCCCACTATGTCCTCTTCCACCTCCAGGCTCGGTGACGGGAGGCCATCTCATCACTCTTCTCTGCTTTGGAGAGGAGAGACCCTGTGGCCATGCCCACCTCCTGGGGCCTGGAATTGTTTTGTGTGCTAACTGAACTCCTGGCCATGAAGTTCTTGGTGACATGCTAACTTCTCCACCAGGATCTGCCCCACAGCTGTCATGATCGCCTGAGCTTCAATGGGCCCAGTGTCCACACACGATCTGCTTTTGATTGGTTCCTGGCTCCGGCCAATGGCTGAGGCAGGCAGGCCTTTTTGAAGGGGGTCTTTTGGTCCTTTGTCCTGTAGAGAGTGCCTCATCTTTTTCGTACAGTTGCATTCTACAAAAACCAATTCTTCCTCTGGCAGGCGTTGGAGGTATTTCCTCCCGAGGGTGTCTCCTTTACCCCTCACCTGAGGAGGGTGGCTCATCCCTCTGGTTTGTGAGGTCCTCCGTTCTGCCAGCCCTTCTTTGTGCTGTCCTGGTTTGGGCCTCCTCTTGTCCTCCCTCTGATCAGTGGGGACCAACATTTCTCTTTGGCTCTTCCAGGGGGCCTTAACTTTTGCTATCCCGGGTGCCTGCTGCCCCTGGCTGCTCTGTCTACTCCATATGAGGTTATATGGCCCCTGGGCAGCTGGCATGTCCCCACTGGTTTTTTTCCCCTGGGAACCACACAGTGCCCAGTGAGAAGCCAAGATGTCGGCAGCGAGCAGCACATCCGTGTGAGGGTCTTGCAGGAGCACGTTGGTGACGTCGTCTTGGATGAGCATGCCGGTGGCGTAGTCTTGCAGGAGGACGTCACTGTAACAGTCTGGAAGAAGCAAGCCAGGGGCGTGGTCTGGAAGCTGGCTCCCTGACTCTACCTTCCCTTGAAGCTCAAACTTACTGGTCTTCTTTGTTGTAAGGTACGGCTCTTTTAGATATTGGGCAACTGAGTTTGCAAGTGGTGAGGAACTTTGAGTGGGTCCTGGAGACCCTGATCTCTTCATATCCGTATAAGTGGTTTGGATATTGCCCAGCACTCTGGGTCCCACAATGACTTCCCAAGCAGGGTCCGTCTCAGCCTCCACTGCCTTCCTGGACTCTTCAGCCCTTGAAGAGTGGGATGATACCTTCTTTTCTAGTATCGCTGGCCTCTGGCAGGGATCTTCTGGAGTCTGAGTCCCTTTCTCCTGCTTTGCCTCCTTCCTGGCTACTGTTGAACTTGGATTTGGCTTTGGGCTCTTTTTCTTAACATCCATGACAGTACCGTTCTGCTGGGTTTTTCCACGGAGGATGGGTGCGAGGGACTGAGAAGGCGGCCTGCTCTCCTCTCTAGTCCGAGGGGCCTCTGAGAGCCCATGGCCAGAACCAGGCGGTGTCCCTTCAATGGACGTCTGGCTTTTCTCAAATGACCCCTGGCTGCTTTTACTTGCATTCGCAGAGGTGGTGGGGAGGCGACCTGACTCTTTTGTTATCACCTCTTCTGAAAAGGCCTGAGGTTGTTTTCCCAAGGCCTTGGTGAACTTGGCTTTTGAGTGGACCTCAGGTACACAAGCAGCTGAACTGGGCAAAGGGGACTGTGGAAGGTGCGAATATTGAGCCTCATGTAGCTTGAGATTTATGGGCTCAAAGGCCGGGAGGGACAGGCCACACTCGCACCTCACCTGAAACTTTAGAAAATGTACTTCCAGCATCTGTCGAGTGCTGGGACTGAGGAAGGAAAGCTCGCAGGAGGTGTTCACGTAATGTTCCCGACTCTCTGCAGTTGCTAGATTTCTGGTTCCCATGTGAGTGTTGCCCTTGGGAAAAGCATGGTTGTCAGCAAGCCAGGGTTGATCCACTCTCAGAGGGTCCAAGTCCTGATCGATCTGCTCTAACTTCCTGACCAAATGGTTCTGATCTGTGCTTCTGGGTAAGCAAGTTCCTGAGTCACTCTTTGGGGGCTTCAAGTCTCTTTCTGACTTCTTTTTGGAGCTGATTCCCAGAGCCTTCACTACAAAGGTAGCTGAGTCTCTGGAGAGACCTTCTGGGCTCCTCTTCCTCCTACATTGCCGTAGACGCCTACTGAAGTCTTTCCTTGGTTGGCCCTTCCCATGGGACTTTCTCTGGTGCCTGGACTCCATCTTCTGTGGGTCCTGGCTGCTTTTACTTGCAAACACAGAGAGATGCAAGGGCCCCTGCTTATCTTGTACCTGACACACCTGGGGCACTTGGCCTTGAGGCTGCTTCAATTCCAGAGACACCTGGACCTTGAAGTGCAGACCGCCACGCTGCTCATCTTCCACGAGCCCCTTTTGAAGATGTAGCTTCTGGAGATTAGGGCTGATAAAGTCCCTCTGAAAACCAGAAACTGACCCGGGGCCTTGGGAGACCCCACTATGCTGGGGAAGGTTGGGAGTGGGTTGGCTAAAGACGTCCTGAGATCTCTTGGTCACAGAGGGTAAAGCCTTCTCCCTTTTCTGTTGCTTCTGCAACAAGGAACTTTCCAGATGTTGAATTTCATTTGGGATGCAAGGGATATTTTTGTTCTGGGCTGTAGGGCAAGACACCCCAGAGGTCCCCATCTGGTGCGGAGAAGAAGGTGGTTGGATTGAGAGGGAGGATGTGAGATTCTGGGTCTGGGTCTGGATCGGAGCCAGAGGTGGGGGCTGGGAAGGTAGGGGTTGGGCCCCAGGAAGGGGCAAGGGTGGGGCCTGGGAAAGCCCTGCCGGTGCTCTAAGCTGCACTGGAACTGGGAAGTCATTAGAGTTTCCATTGAATAAAACTGAAAGAGGCTGTAGGTAAGAAGAGCTCTTTGAAACCCAGGCAGTAGCCACCAGGGACTCGCTGTGCAGAGAGGGGAGACCCCAGAAGAGCTGGCTGCATTTCTGCTGGAGCTTGATATGTGACAACTGCTGAGGACCAGGCACCTGCTCTTGTTTGTCCCTCAGGCTCCAGCAGGGTTGGGGGGTTGGGGTGTCCTGCTCAGCACCCAGGGACTTCCACATACTCCCCAAAGAGCACAGGTGGCATCCTGGGACCATTTGTTTTGAAAGTGACCCCTCCTTCTCCTTCTCCTTCCACATCATCAGTTCTGCCCTCTTGGTGAGCAGAATCTCCAGCAGCCTCTGGACTCCAGGGTTGACAAATGCGAGGCTACCAGGCTCTACCTGCCTGTCTGTGGGGTCTCCCCGGAATGAGGCCTTGGGTGGGTGGTGGGACAGGTGCTCTTGCTGGGACTTGCGCTGTGATGAGGTTGAGAGGTACAAGGCTCTGGCAGCCTCCTGCCACCAGGACAGGGCTGGAAGGGGACAGCTTGAGTGGCCAACGCGGGAGATGGCTCGGCTGGGCAGTGCCACAATGGCATTACTGGGAAGTGAGCTCTTTACAATGGTACCCAGTGGGGTTCCCTTCAAGTCAGATTGGTCTTGATGTTCTGCTGACAGGGTAGAGGCCAGAGGTAGAGGACACAGTGTCACAGGAGCCGGAGGAGCCGACGGGGATATGGCAGGAGCAGCATCTTCCGCAGGCTCCCCGTCGGGCAGGTGGGCTCCGTCCGGCAGGTGGGCTTCAGCGGGCGCTGCTGTGCACACCTCATCAGGAGAGTCTTGACAGGAGAACTGATGAAGGCCACCCTGTTCAGGGGGCCTCCCAAGGTGGCTGCAGGAGATGGAGGCACAGGCTGCAGCCAGGAGCAGGTGGGCAGGCCTGGCGGTGGCGGGCACCTGGGGCGCAGGGTCCTCCATGGCCCCCAGGCTGACTTCCCCATGCTCCTGCTGTCCCTCACCCCAGGGCCATAGCCAAACCCAAACCCATGGTCCCCTCGCCCCCAACCAGGTGAGTCCAAGGCGGCCTCTAAGCCCTGGAGTCACATTAGAGATTCAGGAGAGAAGGGGGAGATGCTTTACCTTCCAAGGAGAGAAATGAGGCTCCGAGCCTCCTCTAGTTCTTGCAGGCACTCTCTGCAGGCTGCAAAGCAGGAGACTGGGTCACGTGATGGAGCAGGGCCTGGTGGCCCTTTAAGAGAGACACCTGGGAGAATGGACTCCGGAGCCCAAGTATCAGGGCCAAGGTCACATGAACCCTGACAGTGATGGTAAGGCTTGTGACAGGAGTGCTTTGTCATTTACAAAGTGCTTTCACATCCTCTACATCTCTGGCCCTCTCAACATCCCTGAGGGTGGGGGAGGCAGGGGGCACCTCGGAGGGATCTGAGCGAAGGTCAACACCGTGCCCACAGTCGGACCTGGAGGTCCCACCTACCCATCGGGCACTATTGGTCCCTAACATCCCTGCTGGGAAGTATCCGCTTTCTGACCTCCTTCCGCAGCTCTGCCGTTGGCAGCCTCCAGGCCCTGGCCCTGGGCCGTCGGGACAGGACAGATGGAGACCAACTCTCGGGCGCAGGGCTGAGGGGCAGCTCACCTTTCAAAACTCCACTTTTCTTCCTGCTCCTGCTCCTGCTCCTCCTTTTAGGCTCCATTGAACGCTGGGAGACAAGACACAAACGAGGGCTGGGACCCCGTGCTCACCCTCCTCTCTCTAGACCAGCAGCAGGCGCTCAGGGTTCGTGAACAATATGACCTTCTACATGGAACTACTGGGGCGCTCTGGGTTTCCCCCTTTTATTTTTGAAGTGGATCAGCATCATCGCAGGTTTTCTTCTTTGCAAAAAGTAAAGAAAGGTTTTCTATTTGAGACCGACCATGGACTTCCTCCATCACTGTTCCTCCACCCGAGAAACACACCGAGACACTCAGACCTGCAGGCCCGTCGGGAGCGCCCTGCGCCATGACTCTGCTTCCTGCGGCCCCAGCCCCACCCCAGCCTCTGCTCCCCGCTCTCAGGGTCTCTGCCCTGCCCTCTGACCAGCCCCCAACAGAGGGGAGGCTCACCCGAGATGCCTGCTGTGGGAAGGAGGCTGGTGAGCCAGGGCTCCGGGCCTGTCCCCCACAGTGATCCAACTCTTAGTATCCAACCGTTGGCCACTGGTCACTGTGCCCTAGAGCCCTCCACCACACCTGGCCTCCTGGTCGGAGATCTTTGCAGAGAAATCCTCCCTCCTGCTCTAACCCCTGCCCCACGTGGCTTGTTCCTTGAAGGATGAAGTTCGATTCTCTCCTGAGAACAGGCATTTTATCCCTTCCCGTCTGGGGAGTCTCTCTAGGTGATTCAGAAAAGTGGATATAAGGTTGGAAAAAAGATCACCTCTGTTTTTTCTGGGCCCAGGGCGCCTTACCTTCCTGCTGTTTCTATGTTTCCTTGGTGGTGGTAAGGACTGATCTCTCTCCCAGAAATGGACTGTCACAAGGAAGAGCAGCAGTCCACACAGGAGGCCAAAGATGGTATCCAATACCCAGGAAGGACTGGTGTTCTTCCAGGTAGCAATAACATTTTTCAGAGAAAAGAGGGGGTTCTCCATCATCTGAATCGCACTGCTGCCCTCAGGCAACTGAGCGCTGGGAGTGGCTTGCGGCCTAGAGGCCCAGGTTCGCATCACAGGGCTGTGGTCTGGTCACAAAGGGCTCCTGAGTGTGGGGGAGGGGGCAGAAGGGAGTGAGCTGGACCCCAGCCCCTCCCCGCTCCAGGCCTAGCAGCTCCACCCCTCCACTCTCCTGGACCTTCTAGACCCGCGGTTCTCAACCTGTGGGTCTCGACTCCTTTGGGGGTCAAATGCCCTTTCACAGGGGTCGCCTAAGACCATCGGAAAACA